ATAGGCAGCCAGATACATAGTAAGTAAATCTTAGCTCCATATCCTTCCCTTTTCATAAGTATATAACATCATATGCATTATCAAGGAGTGTATTTCATTACTTTCTACTTGATTTTTTTTAATCGATTCTGCGCTGACAACCCATGTAATAAAGTATACAATTAGACCATCACATTTTGGACCATATTAAAGATAAACTTAGGAGTTAAAATAAATAGAACAGATAACAAAGCGCAAGCAGGCTCTATTGTATTGTAACAGAATAAAATAGCCTGCAGACAATTTTTGAATGTTGAATCAAATGATTCATGGAATTACAAAGAACCAACAGCATTCTTTGGTATGTAGCCAAAGTGGTAATCAGAAGCAAACTAATTCAATGTTTTGAAAAATACAACCAACCAAATAGAATAGGGAAATAAGTCAATTAGAAAAGAAAATGACAGCATTAGGAAAGAAGCATAAACATAATTAGGTCTAACTAGGCAGTCATAGCTGGGCTTGAATGAAAGTTTAACTAATAGGAATGGATGAAAGTTACAAAATAGGGCAACAGATTTTATGTAGACCTAATGCAAGTGAAGTTAAAAAAATAAAGTCTGTCCCAAACAGTATACCAAACAGAAGATAAAAAAAAATATTAGAACATTTTAGGGATCCATTTCTTTTTAGTATCTAAGAAGACATGTAAAGATCTTCATTGCTGCAGCAAATGACTGATCGTTGGAAACTGGCCAATCGTAAATACATACATATGTTTATGTATACACATATACATATTTTCTCTCTTCATATGTGGATATAAAATTACTCCTATTGCCAGTACTGATTGCAGTACAAGCCCTATTATCACTTTCTGAATCTGTGTCAGCTGTACCTACAGGCTCTGAAGTCCCCAAAGGAGTAGTCCTTTCTAGTAGAAGCTTTCAACTGTTTGTCCATCAGTTCCTGGTGATCGTGGTCACCAGCAAGCATGCTTAGGATCATGTGGTGATCATGTGGTTAATCCTGCTATGTGTGTGCCCTGTAGTTTTTCACTTGATAGACACCAGCACCTGGGCATCTGGCTCTAGACCCTGCCCGTGTACCCACAGAGAATCATCAGGTGGTGTTAACACAAGAGGACTTCCTAAGAGATAGCTGGTAAGACAGGCTGATCCTTGTGAAACGAAGACCAGGATGTCTCAAAGCTAGTAAAGAAAGTACAAATGGCCTGCCACAAATACATCACAACATAGTGATGGTTATGGTGATCAGTACCAAGATAGGTTAGGTTGCAAGTGAAAGTAAGGTAACTCATTGGTTGGTCTCAAATAAGTTGTCCTGGATTATCTGAATGGATTCTCAGAGCTCCTTACAGGTGAATGAGAACTGGGCACTCATGGCTCAAACCTATAATAAAGCTTCAGGCTGGTTCTCACATGTCTGGTTTACAGTTCTTAGGAAATGCTGATGATCATTTACAGTAAGAACAATAATCATAACAATAGCAATCACTTGTTCAGTGCTTCCTGTGTGCCCGGCTACTGCGACGTGCTGCAACTTGTTTCTTTAGAAAGAACCAAGTGGAAACTATTGGAGTACTTGTTTCAGATTTGTTTAAACCACTAGCAAGCTGTGCTGTAAAAAATTATGTGAAGCATAAATGAGATTACAGTCACACAAAATCTTTCATTGTAGGGTGATGTAAACTCTTCCAAATAGGGAAGGTGCCTCTCAGGGCGAGGTGTTTGTCAATCTCTGAACTCTTTCCTTCTTCACTTTTTGTTCCCAGCCTGCTTCTTTGTCCCCTACAGAGCCCCACCTGCTTACTGTCTGAATTCCTCTTCATTGATTTAGGATGACAGCTGGTGCTGAGTCTCATGCACAGTGCTTTCTTCTTGGCTTTGCCCTAGTGGGCCATGGTACTTCCTGCTGAGAAAGCAGCACCTTCCATGGTGCCTGTGCTCAGAGACAGGTATCTGGCCTCAACACATACTCCTCAGAATCCCAGCTGTGTTTGTGGACACTTAATCAGTGGGCATGCTTTGTCTATGATACATTACAGATTTTAACTTACAGCCTCCCTATTTGTATAGCCAACCAAATTGCAATTCCTACATACATTGAATTCCAGATAGGTAGGTAGGTAGGTAGGTAGGTAGGTAGATAGATAGATAGATAGATAGATAGATAGATAGATAGATAGATAGATAGATAGATAGATAGATAGATAGATAGATAGATGATAGACAGACAGACAGATAGATAGATTTATATATATATATATATATACACACACACACACACACACACACATTTGTATTCCTTTTTGTATGGATCTTTCACCTCTCTCTCTCTTTCTCCCTCTCTCTGTCTCTCTGTCTGTCCCTCTCTCTCTCTCTCTCTCCCTTGCTCTCACTTTCTCTCCTTACCTCACTATCTCTGTGTCTCTCATTCTTAAACTGAGGGTAAGAATACTTGGTCTCAAGCATAATACCACCATGTTTACTCTATGATGTTGGACAGGTCAACTCATTTTCAATAGCTCTAAGATGAAATCTTAACTCTCTACCTTGCAAATTCTGAAGTTTCTTTGGTTAGGCTGAAATGAAGAAGTACCTAATCTTTAATGTTTATCTCAGGTTCTATATTAGAGTCTGAAATACAGGGGTGAAGAGGCAAATGAGGTCCTTCCCTCCCAAGGCCACTGACATTATGGTTAGAAAAACAGATGTTAATTAAGTCCTGTAGGTTAGTGCAGGTTGTGATGCATGTCTTGAAGGAGATGCATGTATGGATTGAAAGCAACCAGAAAGGAGGTACTTTACACAGAACTATGTGGAAAATCTTCTTCAAGGAAGTGACATGTGAGGTCATAATATTTAAAAGAAAGCCTACTACAGATGTGCTTTGTACATAGTAGTATGCCCCATCAATGACTAGTAGTCCTCCAATTTCTGATGCTATCACTTTACAACGATCTCTGTACTTTGCCGTGAGCTCCTCTCTTTTTTGTTGTTGCTGTTGTTCATTGACATCATTTATCACTTTCTCCTCTTCTGTTTCTGACTTGTGCCAGACAAGTGTAGGTATTTGTCACCTGTCTGCTCTCTGTGGAGCTGTCTTCTGTGTGCTCCACACAGCTGCCCCTCCCCCAGCTCAGGTCCTTTCTTGCTGATGCTTTGACCTCCTGCTCAAAGCAATTGATTTCCATTTCCAAGGCTTTGCCTCCATGCTTGTAAATCTTCATAGGCTGCTGCATTTTTCTGCTAGCCTACCCATGCTTCAGAACAGAAACAATTTTGATAGGCACGCTGTAAGCCCTCCATAAATGTCAATCACCTATCAAATAAATGGAATCTCTGAATCTTACTTAGCTTTAGGACTAAAGTAAGATAGACAGACAGACAGATAGATAGATCTTATCCCTGTGTTAAGTGTGTATTAAAAACCTTTACATATATATTAACATCTTACCTCTTATTCATAATTTATTTTAAAACTACACTATTTATTTGCTGTATGTTCAGGACTTTGTCATTAATCTCAGAGACACCTACAAGCATTGACAATGTCTCTGAGATTCTTCCTACATTGTCCAGCACAGAACACCAAACCTTTTATTATGTTCATTTATTTTGCTGAAGATAGTGATAATCACTGAGATTCCAGTTTTTATCTTTAGCATTATAAGTAATCAACAATATTCATTCACATTAGGAAGTAGGAACCTTTAAGGAAGATCTTTGTATTAAAGAAAATGTCATGTTTGCAGAGTAAAGGAGAAACTGAAAGCGATGTTTCATATGAACAAAGTTTTCACATATGTCTACCTACTTAGTCACCAGTGGCAGTAATAATTTAGTCACAGATAATTTGTAGCATTTCCTCAGCAACAAATGAAAAAAACAGGATGAATAACCTTAGTCCCAAAATACAAAATGCTCCGTATCACCATTGTACCACAAGTGAAAAATGTTACTCCTGACCTCAAACACACCAATAACATTGTATCAAGTACCCTTTAGGTATATGTGTAAGGTATAAATGAAACGTAAATAGATTTTGTGTTTAGGAGCAAGATAGCTTCTTGTGTAAAGGCAAGTATTCAAACATATGAAAAAAGCTGAAATTTGAAACATTTTGGTCCTGTGCATCTTAGATTAGGGATACTTAACTTGTATTCACTTCCTAGAAAAAAAATAGATATGTGCTTAGAATCTTCAATGACAACTTGTTTCAAGAAGTGGATCTTAAATTTGTTAAATATATACATATATGTAATATTTCCTGTGTTGATTAGAAATAACATATAAATGATTCTTTATCATTCTAGAATCTAGAATTCTAGAATCTTTTTAATTAGATAGAATAATACATTGGGATGTTGTTGTTTCGATTATGTTCAGTAATTCAAGAACTAGTGCCCTGAATTTCATTGAGAAATTAGAGGGTTCTCACCTGTGTGATCAGGTACAACTTCAGGACAGCAGTGAGGTTACTTACTATTTTATATTTGTTGCCTGGTGACATGTAACTGAAAAGTAATAGAACAGACTTTCAAACATACTGCCCCTGTTTCTGTCAAAGTAGTCACCTAGGAAGGCTGAACACTGGTCCCAATGAGGCTGTTGTGGCTTAGCAATGGTGTGAGAATACTTTTTAAACTCTCTCTGAAACACTAAGAAGTCATAGAAAGAAAAGTAATATATCTTTATCCATAATTGTGACAAAGATGAATTTGATTTTTGGTAAGTCATTCCAGAACCAAAGGCACTGAATAAAATGTGCCATCCTCTGGCAATAGCAATATGAACTTTCTTTAATGTATCTAAAAAAAAAAAAAGACTCATTATTGGATTTGATAGTTGAAGAGTAATTCCAGAACTCTGGACCTTGGAATGAAAGTATAAGCTCCCAAGGTGACTACTATGAAGAACAATACTTGTTTAGGTGGGAAAAAAAACGAACCAATGTGTATATGTTTGCAAAATAAGATCAGTTTTATTACTTTATAGACATACCTTGTAGATGAAAAAAATACTCCTATCATGGAACTCTTTATAAGCAAACTTCCGAATGTAAGTAGAATTTCTGTCTCATCCTTTCTAAGCCTGTTGAGAAATCTGAATTTCTAATAATGATTTACTACTTAAAAAAATATTGTTTGCCGTTTTTAAAAAGTGAAGGCTCTGCAGTTTCACTTCACCTTTTTTGGAATAGCTTTGCACCTCTGCTCTTCAGTTTTTAATTTAATATATTTATGTTTGTTCACCCTGAAAGGCTCAAAATGTAATTTCTTGCCTTTATATTTTCATCAAACTATTGATCCACACTAGAAAATAACATCAGAGCTGCCAATTATTAATTGCTACATATTGTCACGAGCTCTTTTGTTTGATTAGCAGTGATCAAATACCTATTCTGTTTTTTTTTTTAGTGAAATCCTATTATCTTGGCAAACTAGAACATCAGTTAAGAGACAATTCTCAGCTTTGAAAATTTATACAAAATAATATGTCAACATTAGGCTTTACTAGTATGTTTTGCATTCTTACTGAAATTTAAAACAACAACAACAACAGTTCAACCAAACTGCTAAGGCCATGTTTCTATAATGCAGATTCTACCCGATTCATGGTCACTGCTGGTGGAGAGCTAAGATGTCCTGCTTGATTTTGTACTTTTCCAAATTCATACACCACATCCATCTTTATCCAGGTCATCCAGGCCCCTATTTCTTCATTGCTGAGTTGTAGGAATAAAAATAATTAAAAAGCAGAGAGCATGGAAGGCAGAGAAAATTGTTATCCTTTTGCAAAGAGTTGAAGGCAGCTAAATTGTGACACAATTTAAACTTCAAATTTGACACGTTTGATTGGAAAATTATGTGACCCGTGTAGTCACGGATCTAAATGGTCACTAGTTTATACTTTTAAAAAGTCATAGCGTGCTGTTTTTCTTTTCTTTTTTTTTTTTTAGCCACAGATTGGTAGAATATGATTTTATCTTGCCTGATAGTAACTATTGTACAAATATTATTGTTTTGCAGTTTGGTGATTTAAATGCTGTATCTCCTGGAAATCTGGATAAAGGTAAGAACTGAAAGTAATATTCGTTTTTTAGACTTACTACTCTGGAAATAACATAGAAATTGAATGAATGTGAAAGTCTCTATCTTTTGGAATCCTTTACCATTTCATCATTACACTCTATCCCCATGTTTTCTTTGGGCTGTCCACTAAATGCAGAAAATTGAATTCAAATGCAGTTCCAAACTTTAAGAAAAGAACTTTGCAACACATTCTTTTAAAAATTTCAAGACATTATTTCTGACTATGGCTAGAATTCTAGAAGAAAATCATAAAATGGGGATACTGTTTTGCTGGGCACTGGTTGCTTACATCTACAGTTCTAGCTACTCAGGAGTCTGAGATGTGGATGGTAGAACTTCAAAGCCAGCTCATGCAGAAAAGCACAAGATTCCATCTCCCGCTGATCAGCACACTGTTGATCTGAGTAAAATACCATGAAAGGAAAACCGACAAGCTTTGTCCCCTGAGAAATGGCCAAGTGGCATCGTAATAGAATACTGAAGTGTTGATGGCTATTTCCCAATTGGTCTCCTGCTAGTAGTCTTGGTCTATTATGTGTTTGTGCAGATGAAGGCAGTGAAGTAGAAAGCGAGATGGATGAAGAGCTGGACGACTCCTCGGAGCCACAAGCCAAAAGGGAGAAGACAGAGCTGAGCCAGGCCTTCCCAGTGGGCTGCATGCAGCCTGTCCTGGAGAGCAGTGTGCAACCAGGCCTTCTGAACCCAATCCACAGTGAGCATATTGTCACAAGTACACAGACTATCCGACAGTGCAGCACTACAGGAAATACCTACACTGCAGTCTAAAGAATATTAAAGCATATTTTTACAGCTTACAGTAACCCTGTTGATATTGGGCTTAAGTTGAAAATTTCATAAGCCTGAAGGTCGACTGTTGTCAAATTCTATCTGTGCTGAACATTACCTTTTTGGAGTTGTGAAATGGAATGGGTGTATGTATTTTGCCAGGTCTTTTTTTTTAACATAAACAAATTATTTGCCTCTTAATGATGAGTTTTTTTCCCCCTTAGTTTCAGGTGTCAAGAAGGATTTTTACAACATTTAATGTAATGTTTTTTGTTTTCTTATAATTAAAAAGTAAGTTACTTTTTGTAGTTTAAAATATTTTATTGTTGATTGTTAGTCTTGGTGTATGATTTCATGTGTAAGTTTTTTAATTAGATGCACTTCTGTGAAATATCAAAAGAAATGAATCTCTTTGATTGACACTGGAGGCATGCCCATTTGGCAGCAGATGCATCAATTTTGCTTTTGAAAGGTGCTTTCCACTGGACAGAACCATGAGACACTATTTTGATAACATTTTGGATTAGGGAGAGAGAATACAGAGCATTTTTAATATAGTGCTAGAGGGTTGGAAAGGTCATCTATTTTTCTCGGTAGAAAAATTGAGCTGTGCATTTATCAGTTCAGAGTAAATGACAGAATTGCAAGAGAATATGCTAATATGTACATAATTTGTGTACATAATTATTAAACCATATTAACAATGCAAGCTTCCGTTAGATATTGAATTTAACCATTATTTGCATACCAATTCCTCTGTTTGAAGACTACTGATTCTGTATTTGGGACCACTGCACACAGATGCATTCTGCTGTTAAGTGGGGCTGTTAGAGTTAGATACTGAAGCTGATAAAAATGACTTGACTTTTTTTTTTTAAGTGTACATGCTACTTATTCTGAGCTGGACATACAGGAAACCATTCCATTTGAATGACTTTCTTTTATTCCAGGTCTTCTTTTTTCTAATAGTAGTTCAATATGCTGCTATTATAAAAGAAAAATTATAGAATGCAAGGAATGTAGCAACCTGCATATCGTTATTTCCTTCGAAACGATTTCCTGGTTTCTAAAGTATGTGGATTTAAATTTTAAACTGAACCTGAAGGCAGTGTAACTGGCACACCTCACTGTTACGTACCCCAATTCTATAGGATTTGGACAGGTGGCTGGATGGACCATTGCCATTGAAGAATGTACATCAGGGATCATTGTACCTCGGCTATTACATGGTGCCTTAAAACAGAACTGAAGCTAAGGTTTAGTAAGGTTTATTTTATTCATGTGAATAACTCTTCAATCCATTTGACAAAGTGTGCCTGTCATTTTCAGATTCCTGAAGTAAGGACAGGTTACATGTTCTTCAAAGGAAGTGTAGGGAAAGTGAAGCAAAACAAAAAGATAGAAATCACTTCCCTTCTTTGAGTGACCATGAACCTATTTTTTATTCTTAGAGCTAAATATTACTTCATTACGAATCAAATTGCTTAAGGGTGTGGAATAGCAGACTAATTTTTAATGCCAGCTTATTACATAGAAATCATGTTTTAGACCAGTCTTATCTAGTTACCATTCTAGAAAGTCAACAAAATAAGCAGGTACTTATTGAAGTGCATCTTTTCAGTCTAAATGTTTGTCTTTCTATCTGGGTGTCTTTGTGTTCATGCATACACATGCGGGTACCCATGAGGCAGGAGTCTGTGACAAAGTCAGAAAGGGGACATCCTGGCGAACACACACCCATCCCCACGTGAATTTTCATGAGGAGCCAAGGTTCTTTTAAGCACTCAAGTTATTAACAACAAAAAAGGCACATCTTTTCATTTAAATAGTTGTAAAACACCAATCCGCAAAAGTCAATAAATAACTACTATAAAGCCAAAAAATAGATAAATAAAAAAGGAAAGCACAAAATTCTTTACAGATTACTAATGAGGCTTATGTTAAACTGAAGATGTTTATCTCTCCAGTGGTATTGGGGCGGGGAAGGCTGGGAAGAAGAGTAGGCCAATCTGTAAAGTTGAAGATACCAAATGGCTTATCAGGTAACAGCCCATATTCACAGCATACTGGCCATGTTGTTACCTCATTGCCTCTAACGCCTAAATATGAACAGCATTTCGTAAACAAAATTTAAATGTCTTAAATATAATTTTTAAATCAGTTCACTTCAAGATTTGCATCGTACAATACTTGTACATATCTGGTAGTCTTCACTAGCACCGCCTTCATCTAAATACCAGTTAAATGATCATCCCCCTTTTCCTCCAAAAAGATCAAGGAATTTGCATCTCACATATACCCGTACACACACACACACACATACCACACACACACACACACACACACACACAGAGCAAAATTTTAAAAAGAGAATGGAAAAAGAGTGTACACTGCAAAAGACCGCTATCTGCTTCATCATACATTAGGAAATGTATACATAGAAAATTAAAGTCTACAAAAAGGAAAAACACTTCTCATCTTGACTCTCCTTTCTGAGTTTTTCAGTTTCCTGTCTCTATTTGGCTGTTCCCATAACACTATTATATCTGTATTGGACCAAATGTATTCACTTGTTTCATCTTGTTTATTGTTTGACTTTAAATGTACTTGTTAACATTGTTCTGTTTAATTTAATTAGATATATATATATATATATATATATATATATATCATTAGGGAAAAATCAGATAATAATGAACAAATTTAGATTCATAAGAGTTAGGAATTGGGCACCCTCCAAGATTCGACATTTCTTCCAGTTGTTCATGGTTTGTTTAAATGAGGACAGAGTAGAAGTTAATATTATCGTGTTTGACATGGACTCAAAAGTATTCTGATCTCCTTTAGGAATACTTGCAATACTAATTCTTTATGGCTAGCATAGATAGTCCTGACCAACACAAAAAAAAAAAAACTGTGGTTTATACCACTTCCAGTTAGGTACAGTTCCACAGTAAGACTCCTCATTAAGTGGACACATGTATTAAGCCCTCTCACCCAGACATTCAACTTTGAATCTGAATTGTGAGATATGTTAAAAAAAAAAAAAAGTAAAATCCATAATTTACATACTGGAACACCATTGTAGCCATCAAATTCGTATTTACTTGATGTTTTATTTCAATTTTCTAATTCATTGAAACTGACATTTTAAATTGTATTAGCCACTAATACCCATGAATTACATTTATTAAATTATACATGTACACAGTTTGAGGATTTATTGGTATTTCTTAATTGGCATTATTAATGGAATAGTAATCAAATACTAGTCACGAAATATATCTCCAAAATTCAAGTGCTATATTTGCAGTAAGAAAAAAAATAAGAAAGATATATTGGCTTTTGTTTGACGTTTCAGCAAGGATTTTTCCATATAATAAAATTCAGTATCCTGGGTATGGTTTGATCTTGATAGGGACTTTGTATATCATACCCCAGTATTTATGTTTAGGCAAACAATGAACAAGAGGATGGAATGGATGAACTGTCTGGAACACAGGGCCCAATTTTCCATTTTTCGTTGCATACCAAGTTGCTGGTCACTTTTCAAGATTTCATCCAAACTGTGATTGGACTGACTGTATAAGTCTTACTGCCTTTTCAGAAATCTGCTTTTCTTTTTGTGCTTTTTCTTGTACTGTATAGCACGGTTCATGCACCTCTCTTTAGATGGTGTACTTTAAAAAAAAAAAAGTAAAATTTCAAAAATGGTTGTATCACTGCATACCTAAAGTTAGTAGTGTGCAGCATTGGCTGCCTAAATGAACACACATTCTCACAGAATGTTGTGAAAGTCATTCAGGAATGAATATGGTTTTGTACCGTCATCATAAACTTTTTTATGTAAATGCACTGTATAAAAGTGCTAAATTCATTTTCAGATTTAAGAGAATTATTCAGAGGATATATTTGAAATGTCGAAAACAATGCTGTACTTAAAACATTAGTGTCAAGGAAAAAAATATGTCACTGTGATGTGGGTCCTCTTAGTGTGGACACAAGTAGGAAGGAAAAAACTTGGCCAGTCACCTTTCTATACAAAGTGAGGCAGTGGTGATAGATGATGGGTTGTTTTTTTTTTAATGTAACTTCTTCCCCCATTCCCAGATTCTTTTGAAAAAAAAAAGTAGTAAACATCCAAAAATTGAAATCAGAGCTTTTGTGATCTCTACGAATCATACCAGAAAGTGGGGGAGGAGGGCTAGTGCTGTGCTACTGAAAACCAAGCTTTTTGCTAGACCAGAACAACCTCCATGTGTATGATTAGAACAAATCAATAAAATGAGTTGTAGTATTTCTGCAAGTTTGGTGATTTAAGAAATCTGGAATCGAAGCATTCGTTCAGCGCTTAGGCCTATTATTAGAAAACCCCTTATGTAATGCCTTGTAGTAACTCTTTGAGCATTGTAAGATATACAATGGGGGATAAAAGCCTTTCAGATCATTTATTTAGACTTATTATATTAGACCGGTAAAATATACTCTATATCCAAATATCTAATTATGCTGTTTTTTAAAGGGGGGGGGTGGTTAGGAAGATAAAGTGTTTCCATGCCGAACACTTACGTTTTATATTCAACTGTTAATTTTCCTTCAAGAGGGCTTGATATATTTATTCCCAAATATTCACTGCCATCCAAGTAAAGTGTACTGTTTACAGAAAACAAAAACTCAACTTTTCTAGCATCGCATCATGAATCTCTAGAAAAGGAGGACAAATACATGGGCCTGTGTGTAGATCTATGTTGGAGCTGGTGTCTGCACATTGGAGGTACCTAGCTTGCCTTTAATTAAAGGTATGATAAAGAAAGGGTTATATTTCTTTTTTTCTCCCCAAAAACAAAGAAACAAATAAAAGATTTCATTTATTTAGCTTTAGAAAGTACAAGAGTAAGTGAAGCCTTAGAAAGCCAAAGAGTTCCCATGAGCACGGACTCCGAACTCTTTGCGGGGCAGTTAGGCTATTTTTGGACTGCATCACTCATAAAATATTGTTTGGGAATTCATACAGGGCATAATTTTATCTATGCTCCAAAACTTTTAGTACTTTGTCAGAAAAAAAAATTTATATCTAGCTAGAATGGAGAGCAGAGCACTGGATTCTTAAGCTCATCTGTCAGGAGATGCAATGGTTACTGCTCTGGTATCTCTAGAGGTCAGTCCGCTTACATTCAAGGGAATCTCTGTGCACTTGACCCTCTCTTTCCCCTGCGTGAACCAACAGGGGAGGAGTGTTGTCTGCAGATGTGCTTGCGCTGCCCTCCTTGGGCACAAACAAAGAGTATGACCTATTCTCGATGTCTGGCGAAAGGACATCATAGCATAGTGCAAGTATGCCGTAATCATTGTTTTTAGGCAGTTTAGGAAGTCAAACCATGCAAATTACTCATGTGATAACACGCAATACTCAAAGGGTTTTAATTTAACTCTTCTTTTGAATTCTTCATAATGATTTACTGTAAATGCTTCTCAGTTTGCATGCCTTGATCATTGCTGCTAGTGATTTTATGTGCCAGTAGACCTGAGTTTAGTTTACCAATTTTACTTAAATAGTAAAAGCCACTTACAAAGTGACTGCCTAGGATTTTTTCCCTTTTGTTTAAAGAACTTGGTAATAATGTCTTTTTTTTTTCAAAACAAAACAAAAAGTTGTGTCCTCTTATTTGGTTCTGGTA